TATATATATTTCTGTATATATTATTTACCTCGTAAATGGATATGAAGCAATGCGCGACCAGGAATGCGAATATCCCTGCGAGAGAGATTGGTATCCAAGGATGATGAAGCCCATCCATCTTCTACGAAAGGAAATTAAAATATTTAGTAAGAATAGAATATTTTTTATATGATTAATTTATCTAACCTGCATCATATAAACCCCTGCCACAACTGTAAGGGTGACGACGAAGACTTTACCCAGAAATAGGACAAAATCACCGACACTATTAATCGCCGCTACTCGCAAAATGTTACTGGACAAAGCTTGAAACGCTTTCCTTCCACCTGTGCAAAAGTTGCATCCGTATATGGCTGAAAAGAGCAACATATTTTTTATTATTTTTTATATTGATAAAAATGTATAAATATTTTATGAATTTTATTATTCTGCAATTATACCATTATACGTAAGAATGGAAAAAGACTTTCTATTGAAAGGGCTTAAATTTCTAACTAATAATCGGTGATAAAATATGTCGTGGTTACCTGTTTCAATGTATGCATTCCTAGTGAGAAATTTTAGAGCGCATTCGAAGCACCAGAAACAACATTGACAGCACCATAGTATTCCTTGCACGAAAGCGTTGTCGTAACGTTTCAGATGGTTTTGAACGAAGGAAATTATAGCTCTGATCAGTCGAACAACACCGATTATCAAAGCTCCGAAAGCAACGGTACCCATGTGATATCTTACAAGATATCCGAAGCCTTTAGCTACCGGTAAAGAAAGACGTCTTTTGTCCCTGTTAAATCACAATTTTTGATTAATTTTCTCTGTGTAGAAGATATATGATATTGTAGGAATTACAGTACAATTTTGATAAATTAAACATCTTAAATAAAAAAAAAGCAGATATAAAAGAAGATATTAATAAAGAATGTAGTATAATAATATTGCATAAAAGAAATTTAATAAAATATATATGAGCTACCAAGGGAGAGAGAAAATTCTAAGCACGATTAAAATTGACACAAAAAATATTTATGTGATTATCGGAAAAACAATTTAATATTGTAAGCGAAAAATTTTGTATTTTTTTATATGTAATTGCAAATAATGGATCTTTTATTATATCATTTGATCCACTTTATTTTTTGCTTTTCAAAGCATCTCACCTTGTAAAAAACCATCGAGCAACGGCGCAAGCGACGACCATGTGCTGACAGCCCATGTAAAATTCATAGGCCACAAAAAATAGGAACAGATTGTACCATCTCGTCGCCTAAATTAATTTCATTTATTAGAAAGATATAGCTTTTTATCATTAGTCCCGGGATAAGAACTGACAAAGCAAATAATACGCTCACGTACAATGATTAATGCATCCTTCTTAAAATGCACGTGATTCTTGCGATTCGTGTACATATCACCGGCGCTCTCGATCCATAGCATGCAGTAGATCCACGCCACCATCGTGAATCCGATGAACAGATACGTCTGAAAATAAACGAGAATAAATTACATTTGCGAGAATTCGATTTGCTGACATGAAACGGCGATATGAGACACTGATGTAATCATTGATAATAATTGAACGGAGATATATATATATATACTCACATAAATTGGCTGAAACAGCAACGCTGGCATCGCGCACACGGCTTTACCGGCCTCCCGGAAAAGCTGCATGACCAGCTCGATTCTCTTTCTCATCACCAGAATCACTAGAAGTACGATGACCTACAAATATAGGTGTATATGTACATGCATGTTTATGTCAATGCGTGTGCGCGCGCGCGTGTGCAGAATGTTCACAAAGTTTGCATGCTATGTTACAGCACTTCTCTTACAGTAACGATCGACATTATAATAGAATAGATGAAATAAGGCTGCAGACTAGAATCCTCGGGGTCAATCTTTTTGTCGTCTAGGAGCTTCTTTTCCTGATACCATGCCCACCTATACATAAAAAGGATTAAACTTGTCGTAATTGTATTAGTTGATTGCAATAATTAGATTTTCTATTTGCATAAAAATCTTTAAATTAAAAGATTTAATGTGTGATTTTGATTTATCGCGTGAATTTAATCTTCGGTTTGAAGTAATTCCTTTTACCAGAGATACGTTGTGCCACCGATGCAAGCCAAAACTGCACCAATCAATACAATATAGATGACGTATTGTACCATATAGCGGAATGCCACCAGGATACCGAGAGAAAGTGCTAAAAAATTGTCGATTGTAATCAATCATTCAAAATTTTTCCATTTTATATCACTCGAAAGCAATATAAGAATTCATTCCCGAAATTTAATTCGCAAAAATTATATCCTCGATGGAATAAAAAAGTTATATTGTTTACGCGGAAGAAAATATTGAATCAAAATTTTTCAGATTTTTATTACACTATGTAAATTGCTTGGATTTTTGGAATATTTTCCAATTCAATAAAACATTCGATTAGATTGGAAACTTTAAATAATATAATTCTAAAATAACAATATATATTGTATTTTTATATACGTACCCAAAGCTATAAGTAAAAGATAAACTAATTCGCGCCATGCAATTCCCAGATCAGTGACTGCGTTCTGAAATAATGATATAATTTATTTTTATTTGTTTTGGTTAGTTAAGTACCATTAAATGTTACTTACTAATTATTTTACTCATTTAAACTAATTGATATAAAAACTAATCTATTTATTCTAAAATTTGAAATATAATTTGAAATAGCATTATATATAAGAGCAGTTAATTTTTAAGAAAAAATTGGATTAATTTAGATAAGCTTTATTTAAATATGATGTGATTACCATAAAATGTTTAAATCAAAATAGGCTATTTTTTCTCTCTCTCTCTCTCAAACTACTTTAAAATAAAGTTTAATAATTGTTCGGTTTCACGAGCTTAACAGATTACTTATTTCGTGGAATAAATACATTTTCTCTCATTTTTCAGTCAATAGTGTGAAAAGAAAGAAATGTATCGATTTTTGATATAAGAAAAAAGGAGATATAAATTATGAGAAATATATTCCGCGCGAGAAAGTAGAATAAACTATTTATTATTAATGAAACCGCATATAGAAATATGATTTAAAAATACATAAGAGACGTTAACGAGAAATACAAAATCAAATTTGTGCATGTTCCTTTAAAGCTCAGGATCGGATTTCAGCAGAATAAAGAGTTGGCGCTTTTTATCCAACTACAGTGGCAATCGTGGAAAATTTTCTCATTCACTTACATTGTAAAAACTATCCAACCGAAGAGTCCTGACTATCGAGTTGATGGTGTCAGTCACCTTCTTGTGCAGGCAACGGTTCACGAATAACGTTCTGCGAGATTGAAACGAAACTTTATATCGAAAAGAAATAAAACGATCAAATTTACCAACGTACTTGATACGTGATATATCTTGCATTCTGCGATTAATAATCACTCTGATTACCGCGAAACGTGCAATTAATTTCATACGATACTAACTTTGGTTCTTCTGGCGTTGATTCGCACTTTGCCACGCATGTGCGTTTCTTCACTCCTGTCGAGTCGATGTCAATTTCAAGATACCTAAATAAACGCGAGATATAAGTTATTAACGAAGACAATAATTTGTATGATTTTTGTATATCATAATAAATAAATTGCCAAATCATCGTGACTATATGTTTAGGATAAATTATATATCAAGGCATTTTAATTTGTTTGCTAATTTTACGCTGCATATTTTTTTTTGTGCTTAAATGGCCTTACTAAAAACCTGATCCTAGAGATCTTGTTTAATTAATTAATTAATTAACTAGTTATTTGTTTATAATTAATTAAGAAAATATATTATCTCAGATTTTTTATAATTTTTAACTTTATTATGCATGAACGAATTAAGGAAATCTCATTGGAATAAAAAAAAAGTTTCAAGAACTCACCGTTTTTGGGTGAAATCACCGCCTTTACCAGGAAATTTTGGATCGGGTGAATTTACGCGGCCGCAGACATTTCCCTCATCATTGTATCCGTTTATCACGCGGTAAATATCACCCTTCTTCGCTACGTTCGTCATCATGAAGGCCTGTGTACGCGAATCACGGAATGATATTTAGCAAATGTATATCCTTATGATGCAAGGAAGAAAAATTGTATCACTTACGAAACCACCCGCGAGAATAAGTAGGACGATTAGAGCCAGAATGTCGGTACATGATCGATCCTTTACGAAGATCCTATCTGAATAACTTGTTGGCGAACCTTGACTCTCAGGTGTCTGTAGAAAAGTGTAAGAAACATAATTTAAAATAACTATACAATCATGAAGAAATTTTACTGTGTGTGTGTATATATATAAAGACATTAGAATTAATCAAAACGTACGCACGTATCAACTCAGTATTATAGAGACAAATGATATTAATTAGTTTAATGAATAAGTTTATTTATTATGAGAATTAATTTAGAAAGTTCAATTTGCGTGGATAAGAAACTTTACGTTTGAATAATATACATAACACAATTATTGTTTATGTCGCGAAAAAGATATGACACATTTTACTTTACGTTTGAATGATATACATAACACAATTATTGTTTATGTCGCGAAAAAAATATGACACCTTTATAAATGTATATCTGAATAATATTTAATATGAGAGAGGAAATATTTACCGTGGGTTCCACCTTGGATGAAGGCTCATCCGTACAGCCGCAACAACCCATTTCTAGACTTGCCGGGTCCACTGACTGTTCCAAACAGCTGTGCTCTTCCTCCTTCTGATCAAACTTTGACAAGCTTATCGTTTCCGATGCGCCAGCTTCAAAAAGACAAAAATCGGAGATATAATTATCAATTTAGTATTGTGACGGCGTTTATAAAATCCTCGACGATGGCCAACATCGCGTAATAAGCTTGCAACACGTGCTAAATACAAATATAAATAGTAGTACGCGAGGTAATCTTTTTTAAGTGCAATATTCGTTTTATTGGTTCCGATGTATATTAAAATATCCCAAATCCGATTAAAATAACGATATCCTCTTAAATTTGCGTTGGAAACCTGTTGAGGCAAAAATATCCGATATACTGACCTCTCAGAATTCCACTAAAAATTTGATAGAAATTTTCATTGAATTTAATTCTTCGTGATTGAAGAATCAATTTTGAATGCGCGGTTTAGCTTGTATGTGTACGACACGTAGAAATGTACGATAATTATGCAACTGCGATTCGATGACGATTGCCATCTCTTTCCGGAAGGCGTTCTTTAAAAGAAACCTGGGTCACGCTGATATCGATCGATTAATAATCGCCTGGAAAATTGCATGCTTGGATATTGTTGTCGCAACGCTGATCAGAAACATACATCAACCATGGTAACATAGACGAAACATAATTACAGTCGTTCAGAAAGATAAAACTTCGAGAAATTATATAAAATATTAAAAATATATATCTATAAACTTGTGGAAAATGGATAGATAGTCTGGCTAATTAGTTCTTATCAAAATGTGTATTAAAATGATACAAATAATTATTATATATAAACAAAAAATGTTTATGACGTTTATAGTATAATAAACTACACTTTTTATTATTCCAAACTAAATAAATAATATTAATAATAATAATAATATTTTATGACAATCGTTGTATGTGATATCTTTTTGCAGATCGTAAATCTGTTAGTTATCTACGTCGTGAGATATGTATTGTATAAAGAAGACGCGTATATATATTTATTTGGTTGAGAATAGCTTTTACACGAACACTGTGACGTAGAATTTATAACAAAATTACTGAAGATATACTATGGAAAAGTCACACAAAATATATATATTGAGTGCAGTAGGTTAATGTTACTTTCGTGTTTCAGTAAGAAAGAAACACGAGAAAAGTTTTATCAGGCTTATACGTGTACAAAAGCGTAAGAGAGCCTGAGTCACGCGGTATGGTGTTGAGTGACAATCATGGATATGGTTTATTGCTCGTTTGAAGACATTACAATTACGTCATTAGTTCCCATTTTCGCTAATCTTATACACCGACGTATTTCAAATAAAATCACATGTTTTCGACATGTCACGTCACAATATCTTTAACAAAATGCGAATGTTAGTTTTATATCAATTTATTTCTACACAAAAAATCCGTAAAACGTTAATTTTTTTTTTTTCTATTTTATACTACTTTTGCATAAAAAGTATCCCTTAAGGTTGCATGAAAAGTTAATCCTTCATTGAATTTGTAATGATTATCGGAACGCTATCAAATAAAAATCGACGCAACCGCGAATGAATTAAACTTTAACGTGTCTGGCTCGCGATATAATCAAATTGTTCCTCCACATGTGCGCACCGTGTCGCAAGGAATATTCATTAGATATTAGATCATAGATGCAAGACGGATTAACGCTTTCCCGACCCGGTCGATATCACTCGGTATCGAGTGAGACGCATGAACATTGTCAGCAATTTCGCTCGTTTGTTTAGAATTATTTATCTGGAGCTAGCTATGATAACGCTTAATCACGAGCAATATCACGTTTTTCATACGATATAAATAATCAGCGGTTGGTTACCATTATAGTAAATGATAGGTTCAAATAATATATGTAATAAGAACTGTATATATATTATTTTTAATTATTTTAAATATATTTTGACTTTCTTTTTCTCTCTCTCTCTCTCTTTGTTAAAAGTGTCATGTATATCGGATAATCGATTTTAGAACTACGTATATATGTGTATATAGCGTAATAACTCGTAGCTTGATTTTTCTGGAATGGTTTTTTTTTTTTTTAAATGGGTCGTTTATCGTGCCA